CCTGCCTCTGCAGTCGCGCCCTTTCCACGGGTGCTTCTGGACTTATGGCGAGTCCAGAATTCTCAGCGGCTGCCTTTTTTGGGAAAAAAAAGACAAGTAGGAACAGTAAGGTTTCGGGTCGAACCACCTCGATCGCTCCAAGCAAAATGTCCTGAGAGCTCAGGGCCGCCTGAATCATCTTCTCTTGGCCTTGTCTGCAGGCAAGTTTAAACCCAAACAGACCCTGATTTCCCCGTTGGTGCCAAAGAAAACTCGCGCCTGAAAATGGGGCTGAGCGCAGCGCCACCCGGCGGTTGTCAGGTGTTCCTGAGACTGCTTGCCTTAGAACGCAGCGCTCTGGCCCTTTGAAAAGATGTGCATGGACGTCGGTTCTTTGTGTTTGATGCTTTTTCTTAGAATTTGCTTCATATGAGGAGAGAAATGGAATATTTGCACTCCAGGTAGTTGTTCAGTGCCCTAGTGAAACCTTAGCAGTGGCCAGGAAGAATTTGTGTGGGTTAACATTGTTCCTTGCCTTGGAGATTTCTAAGGTAGCCTCAGTGTCCTCTTCTGCACAACTGTGCACTGGCAATGATAATAATACCTATCTTATAGGGAAATTATGAGGGTAAAATGAGATGATAAGTATGACGTGCTTAATGCACCAATAGAAACTGAATACTACTAAATAAACGTGATTGATGTTAAATGATAATGGTAACGTTGATGACGGGTAGACCCTGCTGTCTGGCCTCAGTGCAACACTTAGGGAGCCATAAGAATCCAGTCACTTCATGGCATTGACTACATGTTTACTGTGTTCTAGGAGCTTCAGGATGGTTCATGCTAAGAGCTGGACCCTGAGGAAGCACTTTGTAGGCCACCCTACTAATAGTGACTTTGAACTGAAGACAGTCGAACTCCCACCCTTAAAAAATAGAGGTAAGTCATGCTCATTAGATTTGAGTTGGAAGAGACTATATCAGTTTGCCTTTGCTGGATAACAAACTACCTCCACATTTAGTGACTTCAAACAACAATCATTTATTAGTTCACAATTCTGTGGGTTGGCAGTTTGGGCTGGGTTAAGTTGGTGGGCCTTCTCATCTGGGCTAAATGGTTAACTTAGGGTGGTCATCACTCACACGTCATGTTAGCCGGCTTTCTGCTCAGGTGCACGCCTCACTTCTCCATGTGGCCTTTCTAGCTGGCTGGTTTGAGCTCTTTGTTTTCACTGTGATTTCATAAATCTAGAGCAGCAG